TGATGGACACCGTAAAAATGTCACGTTTTTTCATGGGAAACTGGAGAATGCAATGAAAAAACCATGCACTAATAATTGGAAAAACGCGTAATTAAAAATGACAGGGACCACGCCAAAAGAGCTACTGAATGACAGAATGAGTGAATTATATTTTTAGAGGACTTGTAAGTTCATTTGAGGGAGCACATCTAACTGCAAAACGCTGGTATTTCAAAAGAGGGTCCCTCAAATACCCTAAAAGAACGTGAAACTTAACGAAAAATAAAACCTATGATCAGGTGCTACAATATTATTCAATTTTTGTCGGATCAAATCCGGTAAAATTTATGTAAACTGAAAACCTGCGTGTGTGGGATGCAGTTTTCCTGAAGTTTACCGTTTTAAAAAAGTGCTCGTCATTGTTACACAGCCATTTGTATATGAAATATAATAATCTGTTTGGCTAATGTGGAGCACAATAGGTGACACCAGTTGCTTTCGACAATTTGACGGTTGAGACCGAGTCAGGTTGTCAGATTTACTAACCAAACGTTCCACCGAGTTTGACAGAGCTTACCTGTTCCTACAACCATAGTTGAACTTAAAACAGTTCCTGCTTCCCAGTCAAATTATAGGCGGTGATCGTATAGCAGTAGAGGTCTCATTGGGCATATATTAAGTCAGATTGATTTTAAGAAGTCTGAGGGGCGAATTATCACCGGTGTTTTAAGAGCCGGTAAGCAATGTTTTATGTACAAACTACAAAACAATTAAAATGCTTCATTTAAACTGAATACTGATTCGAATAGAACTCGCTGCTTTTGGAATTAAAAACGCGTAGTGTTTAAGTTTCATGTAGCTCGAGTGACGTGTTAGTACAAATAAATTGGCCTCCCCAATTAACATTTATATCTGAAAGTACATTTAACCTGTTGTCAATTTTTTCAATTCTTTGTTTTGCTTTCCACGCGAAACGAACAAACATTCACTCTCGATCAGCGGTGCTTTTTGGTAAAACCTTAAATGAACTTCTTCTCTTCCATTGGGTTGAAGGTGCTAATATATTATAAAACCACTTGGATTCAAAAAACTACACCAAGAAATCAGGTCCAGATTAGCAATTCAAGACAAAAAAAACAGATAAATTCATAAACGAAACATTACTCTACAACCGGTTAGCCTTGATGGTTATTGTTATTATTGCGCACAAATAGAGACGTGTAAGAAGGAGCTAGAACGAAAGGCAACAAAGATTTTGCCAAAGAAGACTTCATGATGGGTCTGGGGATCGGAAACTGATGTTCAATCAACCACAATCATATCTAACTACTGATAACAATTAAAGTAGCTCAAATCGTGATACCAGTTCTTAGCAAAACCCGTTGATTAAAACATTCTTTTTCAATTAAACCAACGAAAAGTTAATTTACTGATGGGAAACACCATTATAGTATTACAATTGAAATCACGTGGTTTGGTATTGATTAATCTACGTATGGAAATTGCTGTGTTTTCGATGGGGAAGAATCATGTCGTGCTATAGGTATTAAAGAAGAATCTAATATTCTCAACATTTTACGAAGAACCGAAATGCTACTCTCCCTTCTATTTAAAACTTTGAGAAATTCGAGATTAAAATTGAACAAGACAATTGGAAATCGCATGACGCTCTCAATGAACAATAGAACAAATAAATAAAAATATATCAAATAGTAGATACTTTGTAGGGAACAAAATTGATTTCTGCGAAGAATTCACCACATACAGGTTATACATGTTCTGAAAGGAAACATTTATATGAAATGAATAATCACTGCATCAATTGTACGGGTAACAGTGGTGAAGTTAGGTGTTGCTCACAATGACTATGAGTAGTTGTTTGTTTCGCGAATGAGAATCGGTCGGCGACTTTAACGACATTCAAAAATGAAGTCAATTAAAGGATTCAATATTATAGCACAAGGAAATGCAAACAGACCATGGAAGTGCTTAATCACCGATCCCGAGACTTCCGCAAAGCAGTGAGCTGACTGGTTCAGATTACATGCTTTGTCCTATTCAATCCGACTGGTTCTCTATTCGTTGATGCAATGAAAAATTCCTGAGTTCGGCACAGTTCTTGTACATTCATAGTACAAGGAATAAGTTGTAAAGATCAAACATACGTGTTTACGTGCACTACGTACACGGTCAGTGAATGCAGTTAATCATCTCGTTTAGTCATACTCACTCATGAAATCGCTCAATTTAGTGTTCTGTGATTGTACCATAACCACAGATCACGACAATGCGGTAAATACTTGCGGGTTCTCAGTGGCTGTGTTTCACCGATATCGGAAGTAGCCACCGGGATTCTGATAGCCGACGGAAGATAAATATATGAACTTCAAAATATTATTGTTCATGAGAGAAAATGCAGGTTCTCAATAATCCAAGAACCGTGTGACCGGAAAACTATTATCCTCTGAACGAGTAAAAAACGCTGGATATATCAGTTCAAACGGTTGTGTCCAAAGAAGCTTCGATAATCAGAGTTCGTAAATAAATACCAGGTTTTTGAACCATAATGTCTTCCCTTTTCACGGTTAATCATATAATGATGTTAAATAAAAACAGGTATCCTCTTTTGTTTGTACCATCATAGCAACTGAGCTTTTTCTTACTATGTGATGGGGTGTAAGAGAAACTGTAGCAGTCTCTTGTGACAGTAACTAATTCTCAAACACTGAAAAATTTTTTCTGTCTAATAACTTTGCGAAATGCTTTAATATTTTGGATATAAGTGTGCTTTAAGAACCAGGAGAAAACTTGCACTTGAACTCAATTAATGGAAATTCACATTAACAGGTATCTCAGTAACTCCGAGACCCCGAAACCAGATTCTCAAAGGCCTAAGTAGAAGTAACAGTTTTATCGCAAGTGGTATTAATTTTCGAACAATTTTATAACAGATATCTGTAATTTTTAACTGCGCATTGTATCCGCAGTAGTTGTAAACAGAAATATCGACTTGGGTCTGTTGTACTCTGGCTATTTTTTGATGTATCTTTCCACTAACAGTATGAATAATAGATAAACATGTTGCCTACTAGTTGTTTGTAAGTAGTTCAACTCTCCGCTCACAAAAAACACAAGCTCCCAACCATCCAGGTAACCAGTGAATGTCAAATGATTTATCACGGATATTTGTGAAAAACTGCACCAAATATTTAAATGATTCGGAAATTTCAACACCGAGAATCACTCATTCATGAATCCTTCATCCCGTGGAAGTTCTATTACAGTGGCGGTTAAGTGGTTTAGAGCATAAACTTGTCATCTCGGAGTTTCTGTTCATGCCGTCAACTAAATTTCGCTATTCTAAAACAGCCCTTTGAGTGGCTGCCTCCCGGTTGCTGAAAATTGATTGATTGTTCAACTGCGTATTCAATAAGAAGAATTATAAAAAACTAAAATGTACCTTAATTTCACATTATTGTCAAGATTTATCCTCCCCATTGAGGGTGTAATTCTAAAAGAACCGAGAAAAATAAATCCTATCAGCTAAATATTTCCACTTGATACAGAAAACAGCATAATTTACTTCAGACAGGTTATTATTCTTTGAATGACGTTAGCACCGCTTTGAACTCAATTCGGAAATGGTAACCAACCAGAACCCAAGAAAGCAACGATCCCTCATGTGTTTATCGATAAATTGATAACTTCAAAATTTGATTAAAAATGATTACAAGACTGAGTTGCGTAAATCAAATGGACTGGCATTTAATTTTGTCGGGTGTAAATTTAAGATACTTTTATTCATTACATGAAAGAAATATTTTTGTTAGATGTTTTCCCAATTATCAGTAGCGCTATGTACGCACAGGTTTTGGCATTGCTTGATACAAGTTGTTATAGTGATTCGCAACAGGATTCGAATAGTCACGGATGAGATGCTGTGAAAAAATGGTAGAATCAAACAATACTGTATCGCCTTATATCTGTGAGCTTTCAAAAAGTAGACTAGGAAAGCGCTGTTATCGTTATCGCACCGACCCCAATCAGGTATGGTCTTTGGTAGAAATTACCAGCCAGTACCACAATGAGCGGTTTTTCTTATTGGCTGAACTACAGTGAGCGGTAAACTGCGCACACTAACTTGATGAAATTCACGGATTCCCTAAAAAAGACAATACTATTTCCAACTGGTAAAATTTTTCATATTATCGACTTCCTCGTTGCAGTTAACAATAGCGAAGCAAATTTCCTTGTTCTCGATCAAACTTACCGATTACTCAAATGAAGCTGTCTAACTGGTTAGCGCACACCCAAATCAGGGCAGAGTAAGTCACCAATCAATAAACCCTTTTGTCTTTAGCACTAGAAGCAACAATTTCCACCAGAGGTCATTGTTTAGTCTTAGTTTGACCTAAAGTTTATTCACACTTTGCTCGTAAGTCTTACTCTCGATCTGACCACGTCAGATTTCGTTTTCGCAACTTCTCTCCAACAAGTGTGTCTCTTTTCAATGAATCTCTCAGGCAGGCTTCCTAATGGCATTTGTCAACTCCTTCTCTATTCACATGTTTCCATCTGTTCACTCAAACGGGTTAATGCCACTAATAATTACTGCTTCCTTATTAAAAGTCTTTATTTGTCCACGGAAGGATAACTTCTCCCCTACTAAAGTCACTGCGACGACCAAAGGAACGTGCATACGAGTATCAATGTGCTTTAGCTGTCAGGTACTAGTATAGGCCTATCAAAGCTGAAGTTAAATATTTAGAGTATCAGGCTTGGACGAAACAGCTGTCCAGTGCTGTTTGCCGGTCATCATAAATATTTCCATCGCATTTGAAATTAAATAGACTAAACGCATTATTCTTCGATCTAATTCTGAGGACTGGAAAAGACAAACGCACGTGGTAAGATACCAAACTTCTTTGGGGAATGAAGAAGGTACGGTCGAAGATAAATTTTAATGTTGATAATCTCAGTGCGGCATTCCTGCGCCAGTTATCGGACATTCTTCCCGCCTACTAATCACACAATATTCGCAATGTGGAACCATTCTCGAATTGTGATGTATTAAAACTTTTAAATAGTTGCAATTCGTCTTCTGCTGCAGGTCCGGATGATTTACCTTCAGCACTCCTCCAATTTGATGTTGCTTTCCTAGCCGGGGCAATCACCTCCATTGCACATGAATCACTTTGCACTTCTACTATCCCCGACTTTTGGAGGCCGGTCACAGTCATATCAATCCCCAAAGCATCAGAATCTTCTACGCGATCCAAACCTTTCAGTCCCATAGCGTTAACATATTCAGCTCTTAAGCTGACTGAAAATGCTATTCTCAAATGCCTTCAACAGTCTGTAAGTATTCCCAATGATTGTTTACAGTTTGCTCACAAGTCTTATAGATTCACTTTAGACACAGTCTTCACCCTTATTTATTTTAACAATAAGTCTTGGAACCAATCTGTTAAGTCTGTTCGGTGTGTTCTTCTTGATTGCTCTTCAGCATTTGATTCCGTTCCTCGACCAAAGTTGTTAAGGAAACTGAAATCATTCAAATGCCCAAATAATTGTTAGCCTGCTTATCCAACTATTTTACCGATGGGACCAGTAGATTGGGGGAAAGCTTTATTTAAACCATCAGTCAACAACTCTGGGGTTCTTCGGAGAGCTGTGTTATCCTCATAATTATTTTAACGTATATTTGTGATATTTCTTGAGTATCTCCTGAGCGTGTTTTGAAATACGCAGATGATGTTGTGCTGCGCCAACGCATTTCTTCTTCCTCTGATCTAAGCTGCTTCAAGGACAATAATGGTCAAATTTAGTCATTCTCCTCTTTATGGGGAGTAAGCTTAAATCTCAGTAAATGTGTTGAACTTTTATACAGTTTTGCACGCTCTTCATATCCAACAGACTACATGTTGATAAGTCACAATCCTTTGTCTAGGGTGAACTCTTTCAAATATATTGGTGTAACTATCGATAGCAACCCTCGTTGGTCAACCCACATCCACAACTGCATTGGTAAACTGCGGCGTCTTTCATTTCAAATCCGATAGCTCAACCAGTTTCGTGCATCCCAGTCAGTTATTTCTACCTTTGTGTATCCGTATATTTTCCTCAGCTTACTTTATTGTCTCTCAGTTATTTTCCCTAGCTTACTTAACCAGGATCTCAAAGATTTACGCCGCCATCTAACTATTATTGGCCGCGTTTATTCTGTCCCTGTGAATGAGTTATCTGTGAAGCTTTCAGAGTAACACACAAATTCCTGTGTGAAATGTGATGAGAGGATTCTCACAGATCCTGACCATTCATTGCACGCAGAACTGACACATTGTTGTTCCAATCCCTCCAACAGTTCTCGATTTGACCAAATTTCAGCTCATTTTAAGGTTTACCGAAATTCACCTATGCACTGTCTTGCATGTTTACCCACAAACAAAGAGAGGGTAAAAAGTGAACTTGTTCTTAATCTTGAACTATAAAAATGTCCCTATGTCTTTACACATTTTCGCATTAAATATGTTCTCTATGACGGTTGGCGCGTAAATCTTTTCAACTGAAATGTAGGCTTCAGTGCCTAAAAACGTTATACCCAACATAATACAAAATGATGTAGATAGCACAACCACGCAACCATATTTGGTGCATAGCTTCAATCTTGCCAGAAGGAATGTAGAGATAAGTTGGCACCAGCAAAATCTCAGGTCATTTTCTCCTTCCCTCCCACTGGCTATTCCCCTCTGTATGAGACAAACACAAGCAAAAACGGAAACAGACAAAGATACTCTGATGCAACAACAGCCAAACGTGCACTGTGAAATTTTGAGAGCAAGTACCTATTCAGCTTCCTTTGGACATCAGAATCATTATTTTCCTTCAGGTCCACAATCGTTTATCCGCAATCAATTCGGTAATCCACCCCCACTCACATTGTGCAGGTAATGTTATTCAGGTCACACGTTCCTCACATCGGAATGCACGTGGATTTTCTCGTATTGGAGACATTCTTTTTATATTTGTTTCCTTCCATGGGAATTTCGAATCCCGATTAATTAGTGAGGTAGATGTTCCAGGAAATACTGAGNCTCGACGTGAAACGATGAACTGCGCTGCCCGATACGTAGACAGAGCTCTAATTGGCAGCACTCGCTGACCGAGTGAGTCGTTTAGCGGAGTACAGACCGTAGTCTATCGGAAACGAATTGAAGACCGTAATGTTTATTCCTAATCAGCATATCCTTCAAGCGAATGTGTGATGTTCAATTGAAAAAAGGAATCAAACAACAAATTCATGCGAAAATTCAGTTTGGAATTTTCAGAAGGGGGAAACCGCAAGACCAAACGCATCTGGAAATTTACCGAACTCAAGATAGTTCGGCATGAAACACGTCGATGAGATCAAAAAATAAATATTACTCGTTTCAAGTTAAAAATGTACTTTATGCTCTCATAGGGTCAGTTTCGACAATCTTTTACAAAGGGGTATTGAGTGCATGAAGTTAAAGAGAAATCAATGTTGACACGAAAACGGAATTTTTCGGTCACAAAACGACAGGTGTCTAAATTACAAAATAACGGGAAGGAAAAGGGAGAATGCTTTTGCAATAAGGTTGGCATGATATAGGAGAGGCCCTGATTGGGAATGAGCGCAGAGATGAGACATAAATTTATCGTGATCAACATTCAAAAGGATTCGCAGAAAATTTCGTGGACATTGAAGGAAGCATCGGGGTGGATGGAGAGTAGCACTGCGTCAAAGACCGTTGTCACAAGTCTGTATACCCACTATTATCAGCAACAACGTCCGTTTGTTTCTTGAAAAATTACCAGTTATATCTGATCTTGTGCGCCGTATGGAATATTCTAACTTAAGCGCAACCCCATTACAAGAGATTTGGTTACATAGTGAAATTCATGAGGAAATTACTACGATTGATGGCTCCACAGGATATCGAGTCGACCATCAGACAACGTATCAGAAGTATGGAGGAGGTCTGGTGGCTTATATCAATAACAATTGGTGCAAGAATGTGAAGCAAATGGTTGCTCATTCCACTGGTCATATATGTGCTTTCGTACATGAATGCAAGCCAAAGCACCTCAGTAACTATCGGTCGATTGTTTTAGCTAACGTTTAATTTTCTCCTTCTTGTCCCTTATAGGAGCTTCTTCATTTTTCAGATACTATTTCCGTAAATTTAATGAGTTATCTTGATTTCTTGCTACGTATCATCTGTGGTGATTTAAATCGCGTTTATATCAGCTTTACGTCTGTTCTGGGTTTGGCAAACATAATGAGCTTCCCAACAAGACGGAATGCCTATTTAGACCGATGTTTTGTAAACACTACCAGTATTTTTTCCGTACCTGCCCGCTCCCCTTTTAGATCTTCAAACCACGCCCTTGATAAAGCTTCCCCAAAAGTGCACAACAAGGTCAATCACATATCGTTCACAAAAAGCCGTGACATAAAGAGAAGAAAACGTCAATGTAAACAAGAGAACCTAGAGAAGCTCAATGTGATGGTCTCTCAGACGGACTTTAGCGTGTTATACCATCGTGATCCTTCCATCTACTGTGAACACCTTACACAGTATCTAAACTTCTGCTATGATATATGCTGCCCCTAGGAGACGCTATACCTTCGGTGTGACCGTATCTCATCTGATCATCTGAAGCAGTTACGTCGAAGCAAGGAAAGGGTATGTGAATGCAAAGATCTTGAAAGAGTGAAACTGTTATCTCTTGCTACCAAAGGTGAGCTACATCGATTGAACGGCATTTAAACTCGCTCATTTCTGCACAACAAAACCTGCCGAGAGACCTGGAACACCATCAAGCAACTGAGTGATCAATCCTCAATCGTGTCTCGAACAATAATAGACGTTGAGGAGCTAAATAGAATGTTCAACAAAAGACCCAACAACACTGGGACGGGGCCGGTCATCTCCAGCGCTAACATCAACCCCAGCAATGAAGAACCCTTTACAATTCAATAACAGGATGTTCTGAAAGAGTTGCTGGCACTAAAACCCAGTAAATCACCCGGTCTCGACGGTTTGGAGGCTGCCATCCTTAAGGAGTGCGCTCACATACTTTTGCCAGCGATAACAGCTCTGTTTAACCAGTGCTTGGAAAACGGAATAATAACTGACTGTTGGAAATCGGCCTCCATCACACCAGTGCGTAAAAGAGGCACCTCAAAATTCCGTCCCATTGCATGTACGTCTGTTATGTTGAAGCTTTTCGAGAATTTACTCCTTCAAGGAATGTCATCTCAGCTGAATATGCAGGACCAAAACCAATTTGCGTACCGTCGCTCTCGCTCCACACTAGATGCCCTGGCTTCTCTAGTTCACCACATTCTGTCAGCACTTGATGGTAATAAGAAAGCTGTCAGAATTTGTTTCTTGGATTACAGTGACGCCTTCAATTGTTTTGACAGGTCTAAGTTGTTAAATATTTGATCTTCCAACGGAATATCGCAAATCATTACTGCAGTACTCACTAACTATTTCAAAAATTGATCACAGTTCTCACGTTACCTTGGTCGTTCCTCCTCTTCTTTAATTTCCACACTAGGCGTATCACAGGGTGCCTTCTATCCCTGTTTTTCTTTTCCACCTATATTTCATTCATGTCTACTTTTCAAAATTCCCTGCTCATTAAATATAAGTCAAGTCAAGTCAGTCAAGTATTTGCTTTATGCACCCCGAAAGGTGGATATTCAGCAGTCACATAGTCATCTAACAATTATCGAACAAAATTATAGCATAATTATCGTGAGCAGTGAAAATGAATACAATTTAAGAGAACGATGTTGTGGTCGAAATCGCCTACCCTGATGTATCGGTCACCCCAACCCTTCAACTTGGTCTTACTAACTTTACTGAGTGGTCCACTGAGCATAAATCAACTTTCAATCCCTCTAAATGCGTAGACACGTTGTTCTCACTTCACAGAGGGAATCGTTGTTCTGATCTCTTGGACTCCTGCCCCACGGTGAATATACGCGATGATACTGTTATTCAACCCCTGAATGTCAGATATCTTGGTTTGTTAATAAGCCGAAATTTATGCTGGTCTGATCAAGTTATTTCTGTATTTGTAAAGGTCAGGAAATTATCTTTTATGTCTTACGTGTCAAAGCACTCTCCGTTCCTCGCTTCTTGATTAAACGTTTTCTTTTTGATTGTGTTTTGCCCCTATGGTTGTACGGGTCCCCCGAAATCTTTCCAGGGATACACAAGAAGGACTTTAAATTGCTTTCCAGATCCTTAACGCA